TATTAGGGAAATGGGAGGCACCGGAGTGTAATTTTTACTCCCTTACGGCGGATTGGAGATCGGTTAGGTGCGCGTTAGAGGAGTAAAACCGACTTTTTACTCCTCTAACACCGGATAGGGAATCGGTTAAAAATCCCATAAGTGGGACAATATGAATAACACCCGATGCATATTTTTACTTTCATTCATGCAACTACAAGTAGTTTAAAAGAACTAAATATGAATAACCTCCCGGTTGCGAGCTGGCGTGAGGTGGTGCGGGACGGCGTGGAGGTCTGGTGGCGGAGTGCACAGGCCGGCGGCGGCCTGGTGCTCTTCGCCGCGAGGGAGCCCGTGCCTAGCCAGATCCATGCCGACCAGAGGTGAGGATGGATGGTTGGTGCTTGGCGGGTGGCCTGGTGGCGCGGCGGGCCTGGCGGGGCTTGGCAGCGGTGGGGTGGCGCGTTCCTGGTGGCGGCGGCGCTAGCTGGAGGCGGTGACGACTCCCACGAGCAGGTTGGTGGCGGCGCTTCGATGGCTCAACCAAGATGGAGTCTTGGCGAGCAGCGAGCAGCGTTGCTCTTCTGCTGGTGTCGCCTGGTTTCTTCCGTGGTGAGGCAGGTCCTGTTGATGCATGGTTGTCCCTTGGTGCGCGACAGCCGCTACGGGCATCCCGAACCTGGCCGGAGGTGCTGGTTGGCTGTGGGTCCTTGTGCAGGTTGGGAGTTGGCAGAGTGGCCGTGGTTACCCTGCCGGGCGGTCGGTCGTCGATCCTCGGCTTTGCAGCTACGTCGGCAAGTGTTGCGGTGGCGGCGGTGTGAGGTTTCTTGGACAGTGCCTCCGATTCCATGGAGGTGAGGAGTGGGGCTACGCCTAGATGAAAATCTTGCACGGATTCTGCCGGGCCGACGATGATGGCACCCGCGAATGTCATTCTCCTCCTTGGAGGCATCGTCGAGTGTGTTCGCCTTGCCCCTCGCGCTCTTGGAATTGGTGGATGTCTGCGGGGAAAGCCTTGATTCGGCTCTTGGATCGGCACAATGATGACGTCCTCGACTTGCTCCTCTATTGGGAGCATTGTGTTTGGAGACGCGCTGGCTCCTCGTTGCTCTCCTCCGGTGTTCGCGGTTGTCCTCGTTTGATACTCCGTGGCACTATGTACGTCCGTCGTCAGTTTGTCCTAGACGGTGGCTTCTGGGAGCGGATCGAGTCTTGCCATCTACCTGCCGCTTTCTTCTAGGCGTTCAGGGTGGATGATGCGTCGGCAAGTGATGTTGTGCAGCAGTTGGTGGTCTTGGAGGTTTCCGGCGTCGGTCGAGACACGGTTCTGCGTATCTCTCTAGGATAGGCTCTTTTGCGTTGTAGCTCGCTTGGCGTGGTGTTTGTCCTTGGTCCTGTCGAGTGTGGTGTTCGTGCTACACTCTTTGTTCGCATCGAGTATTATTCTGCCTTCTATAAAGCTATGGTATACTTACACGTACTCTTGAAAAATGTTAAGCCTTTATTTGTGAACATTTCTTGATCTGAATCGGAATTTGCGCCATTTCACAGCAATGGGGTCGTCTGTTAGAGAAGTTCCCCTAGTACGTAAGGTTCATTTAGCGGTCTTCTTGTAGTTGTACCATCGTGCGACCAGCAGGTAGGCGCCGAAGTTGCCGATGCAGAGCATGGCGAGCAGCCAGAAGAAGTATTCAAGGTGGCCCTCGTTGATGTCGTCGGAAATCCACCCGGGCCGTCCGCCCCTCGCGGTGGCACGCACCACCACGCTGACGAGCGCCGAGCTCGCGTAGTTGCCAAGCGCAAACGCCGCGGTGCAGAGCCCCGAGCAGACGCTACGCATGGCGTCCGGCGCCTGGTCGTAGAAGAACTCCATCTGCCCGATGAACGTGAACACCTCCGCCGCCCCCAACACCACGTACTGCGGCACCTGCCAGAAGATCGACATCGGCACGTACTCCGCCCCGTCGGCGCCGATGACGTGCATGCCATGGCGCGCGAAGACGCGGCGCCGCGCGGCCTCGAGCGTGCCGGCGGCGAGCATGGCGACCGTGAGCACGACGAAGCCGATGCCCATGCGCGTCAGCTGCGTGAACCCGCGGTGGTGCCCCGTTAGGCGGCGCGCAAGCGGGACGATGGCGCGGTCGTAGAGCGGCACCCAGAGCATGACGCTGAGGTAGCCGAAGACGGTGAGCACGGCCGCGGGGACGCGGAAGCTGCCCACGCGCGGGTCCAGCGTGTCCCCCTGGAGGATGAAGGTGGTGCTCATCTGCGTGTAGGCGGCCGCGAAGATGATGCCGCACGCCCACACCGGCAGCAGACGGAGCACGCACTTGAGCTCCTCCACCTGCGTCACCGTGCACAGCCGCCACGGGCTCGCCGGCCTCGCTTTGTCGTCCGCCGTCTCCACCGCTGCCTTGTCCAAGAACCTGATCGATCGATAACAACCAACCCGTGCACTGTTATTAATTTACCTATATAGTGACATGGAATGCATGCGTGGAAATTATTCTATGATTCCTAGGACTCTGTACTTTATATTTTGAAATTCCGTAGTGCATTCTTTGCTTAGTCCTAGTCCTGATCGATCATGTTGCTCCTAGTAGCACCATGTAATTTTACACGGCTCCCTGGGCATACTAGATTATTTTAGTACCCTTTGCCACATAATATAAGACGTTTTTCCTATTTTATTTGAGGGAAGACATGCTGGATTATTGTCATTGTCAAGTTCAGTGAAAGATGTCATTTTGCGCGGCAAGCGTGATAAGCAACTTAAATTAACGAGTAAATTACAAGAAACCAACACATTGAATGCTAGGTTAGCAGAAAACACTACTATACATTTTTTGGTAGAAAACACCATGTCTAGCGTAATGTTTTTTGCAAATAATACTGATCGACGCATGCGGCAGAGAGGAGGTGGCACCGGAGGAATGCCGAGGCATGTGCACACAACTTGTTCAACGTAATGCTAAAAAGAGGGGGGAGAGAGAGAGGAGGAGGAAGAGTCAACACGCCTATGTGGCATTTTTTGCCAAGTCAGCTCCTGACGAGTGAGCCCCATCTGTCATAAACATGCTCAAACGACCATAATCCGTCAATCAGTGTTATTTGCAAAAAAAAAAGCTAGACATAGTGTTTTCTGCAACAAAAATGTATAGTAGTGTTTTCTGCTAATATAATCTAGCCTTCAATGTGGTGGTTTCTTGCAATTTACTTCAAATTAACCAACAGTAAAAGATGTCATGACTAATGCACTCAAGCGACCAAAATCCAAACGGCAGTGTCTTGCATGAAATCTTGAGATTTTTTTGGGACAACGTGTGGAAATGGCCTCTACATCCAGTAAAGCAAAAGGAAGGGAAAATTGATAAAGAACTCAAAAGAAAGGAAAATTATTGATAATAAAGAACTCAAAAGAAAGCAAATTTGTTGATAAAAAAGCGAAAGCAAGAAAACTGATGTGAAACATGCTGGGCGTGCATGGGACAAACTTCTTTGATCCCACTACTACTCCTAAAGGCGCGCTGGATTATTGTCATTGTCAAGTTCAGTGAAAGATGTCATCTTGCGCGGCAAGCGTGATAAGCAACTCAAATTAACGAGTAAATTGCAAGAAACCAACACATTAAATGCTAGGTTAACAGAAAACACTACTATATATTTTTTGACAGAAAACACCATGTCTAGCGTAATGTTTTTTGCAAATAACACTGATCGGCGCATGCGGCAGAGAGGAGGTGGCACCGGAGGAATGCCGAGGCGTGTGCACACAACTTGTTCGACGTAATGCTAAAAAGAAGGGAGAGAGAAAGAGAGGAGGAGGAGGAAGGGTCAAGACGCCTATGTGGCATTTTTTTGCCAAGTCAGCTCCTGACGAGCGAGCCCCATCTATCATAAACATGCTCAAACGATCATAATCCGCCAATCAGTATTATTTGCAAAAAAAATATGCTAGACATGGTGTTTTCTGCAAACCTAGCCTTCAATGTGGTGGTTTCTTGCAATTTACTTCAAATTAAACCACAGTAAAAGATGTCATGACTAATGCACTCAGCGACCAAAATCCAAACGGCAGTGTCTTGCATGAAATCTTGAGATTTTTTCAGGACGGCGTGTGGAAATGGCCTCTACATCCAGTAAAGCAAAAGGAGGGGGAAATTGATAAAGAACTCAAAAGGAAGGAAAGTAAGAAGTGTAGCTTTTGTACTCATGACGAGACAATTAAACACCTCTTCTTTCAATGCAAGTTCGCACGTTCTATATGGTCAGTCATCCAAATAGCATCCAATTTGTATCCACCAACAAGTGTTGCCAATGTATATGGTCACTGGCTCGATGGAATACCAAATACTTTTAGTACGCTAATACGGGTGAGAACATCTGCCTTATTATGGTCGCTTTGGCTATGTAGAAACGATTGTGTTTTTAATGGCAAAACCTCTTCTTCTATGCAGGTTATTTACCGTTGTACGCACTGGCTTCGCATGTGGTCTACGCTACAGCGAACGGAGTATCAATCGCTGTTCAAGGCGGTGTGTATGCGCTTGGAGCGGGTGGCCAGGGAGGTTTTTACCCAACATGGGTGGCAACATAATCTCCGGATCGGTCCACCTCCCTCGTCGATATTGGCGTAGTTTTGGACTCATATGGCTTTACTGTTGCCAACTTGTCATTTTTTTTAATACATATTTTGCTAGACTCTTCGTAAAGGCTGTGTGCATCTTAACTATGCAGAGGCCGGGTGTCGCTCATTATGTTTTGTATCCACTTAATGCTGCATTATGAGTTAATAAAAACGCCCTTTATCAAAAAAAGGAAGGAAAGTTGTTGATAATAAAGAACTCAAAAGGAAGCAAATTTGTTGATAAAAAAGCGAAAGCAAGAAAACTGATGTGAAACATGTTGGACGTGCATGGGACAAACTTCTTTGATCCCACTACTACTCCTAAAGGCATTTCTAAGTTCTTTTTCTTAAAAAAAGGCATTTCTAACCCTTCTCTTCTAATCTAACTCGTCGAACTACTCCTCAAAAATTTACTCTCAAATTTGAGGAGTTCAAAAATGTGTGGAGGTAATCCTTTCATTAAAATTAACTCACAATAATCATTGATCTCACCTTTTCCTCTTCTTCTCCAACACACCGGTCGTTGCCGCCATCTTCTCAC